ATTGATCATTAAACTTGTTTATTTTTTTATCATTTTGGTCACTATAACATGTGATAGTCGGTTTATAACATTGTCAATGTTATAATTAGTCATTGAACTTTTCTTGGTGATTTATTTTAATCATTATATTTTGTTTAAGCTACCATTGATTACTGAATTTTTTTTAGCAACTCTATTTTTTATTATCATTTATAAAAAACTACAGAAACTACAATTTTTTTTTCTATTTCTCCACAACTAAACTTGTTATATCAATTATTTTAGAGTCATTATATGAATAATCATTGTGATCATGAGCATGCATGTTTAATGTTTTTAACTGCTTCATACAAAACATTCTCTTTATGTATTGAAGGATGATCGAGTCCCCTAATTCGGGCTTTTAGTAGAAGTAGAATTATTAGTGTTTTCAATTAATTCATATATACCAAAATATTTTTTGCTTTGGGCCACCCGATACGGAGACTTTCCACGAGGTTACCTAACGTAAAACTGATTATCAATGATGATTTGGTGCGTTTCTACCAGTGACAAGAGTGATGCGATGGACAATTATAAAATAGTCTTTTTATTAAAAAGGTTAAAGACTAAATGAACACTCTACCTTAACTCACAAGGATTATTCATATAATTTACTCTAAATAATCGATGAAACAAGTTTAGTTGTGGAGAAAAATGAAAAAAATAGTTTTTTTTTTTTTTTTTTATAAATGATAATAAAAAAATAGAGTGACTAAAATGAAAAAAAATAAGCAAATTTAGTGACCAATGGTAGTTTAAACAAAATATAATGACTAAAATAAAACACTCATAAAAGTTCAATGACTAATTATAACCTTGACAACATCGTTTAGTATTAGACACATGCTATACCTAGTTCGAGTGACCAAAAAATGAACAAATTAAACAAGTTCAATAACCAATGATAGTTTAAACAAAGTAAAATGATCAAAATAAAACATCCAGAAAAGTTCAATGACTAAAAATGACTTAAACCCTTTAGTTAACTATCTATTAGTTGATAGTTGTTGCATCACATTACAAATAGTTGAAAATTTACATTAGTATCACATCGATCACCGTTGCCTTTAGACATTTTATCTTTTGACAACTAAGAGCAACTCCAATGGAACACTAAAACACCATTTTAGAGGCCAAAAAAAGTGGCTATTTGACTCCAACCAACCTCTAAAAAACATTATTTTAGTGTGTGAGATAACTTTAGACACCAAATATAAAGGTCAAAATACATTGCATTTAAAAGCCACTTTTTTAGTGTATGATTGGGATTGAAAACACAATTTTAATATGTAAACATCACCATTTTAGTGTTTTACCACTGGAGCTGGTCTAAGAGATAGGACTATATTTCTATTATAACCCTTTTAAAATATGTTTCTAAGGCTCTAATAAACCATCTAGCGATGCCCATATATAACATTGTTGTCCAAGCTCCGAAATAACATCCCATACATATAAAACGTTATTTCCCCTCTACTCATTCAACCTTTCATACTTATTTAAGTACCAAATGATATATATATATATATATATATATATATATATATCTCTCTCTCAGAATACAAAACTTGCGTTTTCAAAAAAAGCAGAGAGGAAGAATCGAACATATGCCCCCGTAGAACAAATTCGACTACATACCAACACTGAGCCAAAGGTTTTATTTGATTTTAATCCTTCACTCCTATATATATTTATCAAATACCAAAGTTATTAAATTTTAAAAACCGTACAAAAGGATGATTCGATCCTTGGACACTTGAGAATTACATGATTTTCTTCCATTAGTATTATATATAACTATTATTTGCTGAAGTTTTCAAATTCATTTATTATTATTATTATTATTATTATTATTATTAATTGTTTTTATTATTATTATTAAATAAATATATATATAAATACATTTTAAAGACATATTTATTGTAAAAAAAACATATAAATGTAATAAATACATAAAGAAAACGTATTTATATCTTTTTATATTTTAAAAAGCGTTTTTAAACATTGTTTTTCCAATTAAACATATTTTACATATTTTTTTCCAATTAAACATCTTTATTTGTAATATTTATAAATAAGATTACAAATACATTTAATTGGAAGAACAAAGTTTAAAAGTATTTGTAATTTTATTTATAAATATTATAAATAAATACGTTTAATTGGAAAATATATGTATAAATACGTTTAATTGGAAAAAAAAATTAAAAACGCTTTTAAAGTCTAAAAATATATGAACGCATTTTCTTTATGTATTTATTACATTTATATGTTTTTTTTATGTATAAATATGTATTTACAATATATTTATATGTTTATTTATTTAATAGTATTGATAAAAATGAATTTAATTTTTTTTAATGATTTTTGCTTATAATAATAATAATAACAATAATAATAATAATAATAATAATAATAATTCAGCAAATAATAGTTATATATAATACTTTTAATGTCTCTTGTTTGGTGAAGAAGTGACGCAGGATCGAATCCTTGTTGCTTCGTTTTTTAAATTTAAAAGCTTCTGTATTTGATATATATATAGATATATATATATATATATATATATATATATATATATATATATATATATATATATATATCTATATATATATATATATATATATATATGAGTGAAGTATTAAAATTAGATAAAGGATTTGGCTAAGTTGGTATGTAGTTGGCTTTGTTGTAGGGGAGACCTAGGTTCGTGTTTTGAAAAAAATATCTGATTTTTTTATTAAAAAAAATTCGGGTGTAATTAAAATTTTTTCCAAAAGTTTGAGACTTTTCTAATAAAAGTCCAGAAAGAAATACAAAAACTTGCCCATTTTATAGGAATCCTTAAATAGCAATGGAATGGCTAAATAGCAGATGGAATATAGTCATTTACGATTTTAGTGGCTATTTTGCAAAAAAATATTTTTTTTGCTATTTTTAGAAGAATAATTAACAAATTTAGCTAAATTAGCAAATTTCTCTTCATTTTCTCATTAGATTCGTTTATCTTCAAATTAATTTCTATATTCTTGTTCAATTTAAATTCATTTTTCCATCATTATATTTGATTTTTACTATTATTCTTCATCGATTCAAGATTTGTTATTCGTCATCGATTCAACATTTATTCTTGATTCAAAGTTTGGAAGTGCAATTTCAAGTCAGATTTCTTCAGGAACAAGTTATTTCATATTTTTATCTTAGAGTTGTTCTTGATATGTTTTGGTTCATAGATGACAATTTTCAAAATTTAAAATCTAGATATGATTTTGGAAGTGAATCAAGTCAATATCTCAGTTTTTCGTTTTAGTTGATGTTGATTCAAAATGACGATTAAGTGGCTGATTGATTTAACTCGTGTCGGTGAGAATGAAATTGTTGATGAATTGAACTCTTTCATGTTTTACAAAAGTTCAAAAGGACATTAAGACTAATATGGTTGGAGTGCTATAGAATCCTCTCTAATAAATGAATGTTTTTTTTTTGTTATTTGTTAAATTCTCAAGAGTTTTGCCCCATGTAATTTTGTGGGAGTTTTAGAACTATTATTTTCCACTTGTTATTTTTTTAGAATTTCCATTTTTTTAAAAATAAAATTCCACAAAATTCTAATGGGTTTTATAAGGAAAAAGAATCATTCTATTAATTTGATAATAAAGTCTCATAAATATTCTAAAGAATATTTGATTTCTTTTATAAATGTTCCAAAAGATTACATTATGTTATGTAAAAATATTATTTTATAAAATATTTAATGTTTAATTATTGATATTAAATTTTTATTTTTAATAACACCTAGTATGATGATGAATTGCTCTTTCAAATTCTTGTTATGGCGATTTGAAAAAGAAAGAAAATACAGAAAAAAGAAGAAAAACAAAAATGCAAAGAAATTTGTAATAATAATAATAATAATAAAAAAAAAAAAAACTTAATACAAGAGTTGGATTCAAAATAACCCTTATAGACAGGATATACTAACACTCCATCTTAGAGGCTTGACGCGGATAGGCATTGATAACATGTATTGATCCATGGGGGTATGACGCGCAAACATTAATAACATTGATGATATATGAGGAGTCCAAAGCTCTCTCCAAAAGAGCTCCTATAGAGAGAGGGCCAGAGGGGAGCCTCCAACATATAGAAACACTTATTGAACAAAGTTGCTTCAAACGTTGATCTTCAAGTTTATGATAAGAAAGATAGAAGTACAATTGTTGTTAATATCAAAACTAAAGTACCATTACAAGAGATTTCTAAAGTCAAATATGTTGACGAAGTTTCAGAAGAAAAAAAAAGGTGTTATTTTCGAAGAACAACATGCCACTGGTGTTTCTAGGATACAATCAAAGGAAAAACCTCGTATTTCAAGATCAAACAACTCAATGATTGGATTGGTGGAATTCAGAAAACCAGCGATTCTATATGTTAAATGTTAAGGGGTACCAGCCTGGTAAAAAATCGATGTCAAATTCAAGTGTATCCTCTAACAGTCGCGGTATGAAAGACCAACACCAGTCAAATGTCTAAGAACAGATACTTCAAACCCAATCAAAGGGAGATCAAAAAGAATAAAAGAAGTTTAAGAAAATATGGGTTCCTAAGCAAAAGGCTTCAACACCTGGAACAAAACCCAACAAAGTGATCCAAAGAAAGAAATGGATTCCAATGATATTTGGTATAAAAATATTCTCTATTTTGAAAATAAAGAAGCAGGCATTAAATATAGAAGATCTAGAAGACAAGTTAAAAAGAAAAAAGAAATGATAATCAGGTTGTTTCAGTTAACAATTTGAATGGAAACATATATATGTTGTCATTGTCAGAAGATGCAACCAATCAAAAGACAAATGATCGACACAAACAACACTCCAACACCCAACAAAATTTGGTTGCTAAAGAATCTTGTTAGTTACTAAAGCTGAAGTCTAGTTCCAAAATGCTAAAGAAAAGTTCAAAGTATATTCCCAGCAAGAAGACTCCAAAGCAGTTTCTCTATATTAGAAGTTTTTCATTTCCAAAACAAAAGCAATCTCAATTCTCAAAACCTACTACATAACTGGAAGTTGCTGTATGTATATTACATATACAACCAAAAAAGATGAGGAAAAGGAGGGGTATAACTATAAACCTTTAATAACCAGGGATGGATGCAAACCGATAGCCTTGTGCGCCCCTCCATGAATAATAAGCAATTCGAGTCTCATAGAAACCTAAAACAAATGAATCATCATCATCAAGAAATAAGGAATTCTTCAAAATTTAAGTATTTAACAACACTATAATATAAGTATGTATGTGCAGAATGAATGCAGATTGTGTTATACTTATTAATATATGATTAATGTAGGGTACCTGGGAGGAAGGTGAGTGCACCAAGTCCTAAGAGGCCATATGCTTGGGATTTGTCTCCTCCCATGTGACCTGTGAAGATGAAGATTGAAAGAAGAAGAAGACAACATCCAAGAAAAAGGAGAAAAAGTGCAAGGGCAATGGATTTCCATGGGACTTCATCCAAGCTTCCTGGTGAGTAGTCAAACCGAGGGTCGTATCTTCCTTCATTGCCTATACGATCATTGTCTTCATCAGGAAGACGACTGTAATTGATGTTCCTCCTAGATGCCATGTCACCTTCACTTCAAATTTAACAAAAAGAACCACTCAGATCAAACTGCTTTGGAAAACCATCATTGTTGATTAATGCTATGGTGTTCTATCTAAGATTCCAACTTCTTTAATGCACTTATGTATGTGTATGGGTAGATAAAAGTGTGTATATCATCAACTTTTCTTAATGTGCATATGCTTGTGTATGAAGAATGCCTCTTTTTTAGCAGATAATGTTTTATTATGAAGTAAATACGAAAACAGATCATATAAATGTCAAATGAAGTTCCAACTTGGACAGTAAAACCCATAAATAGACAAGAATTAGCTTACTAGTTACTACACAATCATTATCATTTTCCCTGTATATGCTCTCATGATTGTGATTTAACTTGATGGTGGAGTGCTCTCGCAGGATGCTTCTAATGATGTTATCCTTACATGATTATCATTTTACATTAGAATCATGAGATGCATCAACCATTTCATCCCTCTTTGCAAAGCTGGTCATATTTCTAATTGTTGTTTACACTTACTTACCTTCTTTGATTGCATTCAAAATGAAAACAGTAACAAAGTGACAGATCATGATCAAAAAGCAACATCTTATTGCGATTCGTATGGTGACTTAATTGTAGTGCTACGGACGCATATAGAGACAGACAGCAGCAGAAACAAACTATACAATATAGAGTATCAACTACTAATTAACCTATTTCAAGCTGAACACACCAGATTGAAATAGTTTGGTCACAATACAAAATACAAACCGAAAGTACCGAAAGAACGGAAGGATTCCATTCACAATTCTTAATCACTAACAATTTAAAAGCACCTTTAAACTTGGGGGAAAAGCAATGATTCATAGAGCTAATAATTAGGTCGGATATAAGAACAGCTTACCCGAGGATTGAGATCAATCACTTGCTTGGAGTATTTGAGAGAAAGAGAGAGACGGATCAACGATGGAGGATTTCAGTTGATCCAGAAAATAGTTTCGCCTCTGCCGTTGCTCCAACACGAAGAAATCCAGACCTATCACGGCCTATTTTCCACAACCCTGTGGTCGACCAAAATTGAATTGACCAACGTGGGTCCTTTACCCAAACTAACGTGGATTTTTAAAAACTAGGAAAAGGCGTTGCTGGCGCTACACGAGTGAAAGTTTAGTGGCAAAAATATAAAGAAGTAAAAATAAAGTGTCAAAATTATAAAGATGAAAAGTTTGTTGAAACTTTAATGGCAAAATTAGTAAAAATAAAGTACCAAAACTATAAAGAGGAAAAGTTTGTTGAAACTTTAGTGGCAAAATTATAAAAAAGTAAAAATAAAGTGGTAAAATTATAAAAGAATAAAAAAAAAGGGTTTTAAAGAAGTAAAAGTGAATGTTTAGTGACAAAAATATGAAGAAGTAAAAATAAAGGGGCAAAATTATAAAAAGGAAAAGTGTCAAATTCATTAAAGATTTGTGGCAAAAACACCAAAATGTAAAACTTTTGACTGCAAGGACGAAAAGTGTCAAAGTCATTAAAGATTTGTGGCAAAAACCTTAAGGCACAAAAACTTAGTTAAAAGGCAAAAATGTAAAAATTTTGACTTTAAGGACTAAAAGTGTCAAATTCAGTAAACTTTTGTGGCAAAAACCTAAAGCCTAAAAATGTACTATTCCTAAGCTCCTTTGGATTTAATATATATGTATTATATGGTTAGGATTAGCAAAAACCGAATTATCAAATTGAAAAATCGCGAAAGCTCAATACTTAAAAATTTAATCTAACAAATGGAAGATGGTGTAATTTTTTTTTTCCAAAAGATTACATTAGTTATTTATAATCCGATAATTATAGTTCAATACATATCGATTGAAGGCAAACGGGCAACAAGCTGCGCCGCTAGCGCTTTCTGGATGACAAAACCAATTCTTTTGAAAAAATAGAGTATTTGCGGTGCAATGTTGTTTCGTATTATATATTGCATCTTATTATTCGTAAAAACCACATACCAACAGCTGCATTGTATGATCGTTAAAATTATATTATTTTTTATGTTTCAAAAAAAACAAAAAACAAGATTTTTACTTCCCTAACAAAAACGGGAAGTTAGCTTCAAGACATTCAATATGTATATTTTGCCCTACAAAAAAACCTAAAAAGAAAAAGTCAAAACGAAAATAGAATTTTTTTTCCAAAGTAAAAGACTTAACCTTTGGTTCGGATACGATGCTCCCTAATAAATAAAATACTTTTGTCATATGTCACACTCTCATTGATTTTGCCATATGTCATTTTGTGGTTATTTTCAATTAAATTTTTTCACATGACATTTTATGCTTGTTTCATTTTATTAAATTTCACATAATATTTAATTAAATATATTAATTGTAATAAATATAATAATAAATGCATTTCAATTTCATTAATTGACTTTCCTTTTAATGTCAAAATTTCTAAATTAAGGCCCATTAGTTTTCTTTGTTTATTTATCTAAATTATTTGTTTAAATTTAAAAGAGAAAAAACATTTTAATTTTAATAATTCAATATTTTTCTAATTTTTCTTATAAATTCAAACTTCTCAAATGTTTAAAATTTTATATTTATTTTTTTTTAAATTAACTCATGTAATACATGGGTCTTTCATATCTCTATTCTAATAAATGAATAAGTTTATTATCGTATTGATAAGTGTCACAATATTAGAAATCTTGATTAATATTATATGTCATATATCATGCCACATGTCAACCTATTAATTCTCCATTTTAAATTTTAAATTTTAAATTTCCACTCTAATTACATTAAATTAATAATTGATTTTTCATTTCAAACTTTGAATTTTGAATTTTCACACTTTAATTACATTAAATTAATAACATTAGAATAAAAAATAAAATAAAGTTAATATATATTATATAGTGAATAATTTCATGAATTTATATAAATCAACGACTATAATTTTATATAACTAAAAAGATATCTCTTAATTAATAATTTATTTCAAATAATTTATTTGAAATAATTAATTAATAATTTTAAGTTTTTGCTATAAAAGTTTAATTAATTTTATAACCGTGGTTCTCACGGGTTATAAACTAGTATTTTATAGATACAAAAGTTTTCAGCAAACTCAAAATTTAAGGCTTATGATAAATAGTTAGTTCTTATCGTTCGCTTTATAATTTATTTTCTAATGACAATTTAATTCATTAGTATTGTTTACAGTTACAATCACAGTCAAAAATCACTTTTTACCAATCTAACAAATTGTCTATTATACATATTGAGTAAAATAAGAGGAAAAAATTCTTAATTTAATTATCCTAAAAAATCAAAGATATGTATAAAAATAAATCAATAAACATTATAAATATATACAAATACCAACCTTGGGTTGTGAAAATACTATAGTTAATAGTACTTTTAGAATGCATTGTTTACAACTTAATAAATAAACATACACGTCATTAGTGGGTCTCGCAATTTCTTTATGGGAAATCTTCAGAAAAGTCCCAAAGTTTTGGGCTAGTTTATGATCTAATCCTAAATTAAATTTCATTAACAAAAATGGACATGAAACCAACTAATGTAATCACTTTGATCATTTTTACCTTTTCAGTCGGTTACCTGAGGCTCTAACCTTTCATCTTCCCTCAGTCTTTCTCTAACTCTTCTGCAAAATCAAATTCGCTTCCTTCTATGGGCTCGAATTAAAATCACCGATTTTTGTGTGAATAACATCAATGGAGTAGCAAATTTGACTACTTCGACTCTTTTGCAAAATCGAATTCGACATTGTATTTAAATTTTCAATTCAATAACTTCTAAAGTCCACTGTGAAAGATTGAAACTCCAATCTAATTCAACCATCGATCGATATAAACTTTGACTTTTCATATACAACCAAATTGACATTCATTCCAGCTTATGCTTTTGGCCATCGAAATCTAATTCAATCATCTGGAAAAACGAATTTGTATGAGTTGTATCATCGAACACTACTTAACACCAATTTTGACTTGAATACCAATTTTGACCTAACTTTTGCATCATCAAAATTTAATTCATCTACTTCAATACTCAACACCGCAAATGCTTTTGGTAATTTTGATTTTCAAGACAAGTTCCATAAACATAAATTTTTTCATTCAAGAAACCTTTTCAGATCAAACACACTAATTCAATAAAAATTTCATGTTCTTGATTTTTTATTTCAACAACTCACTCCAAAACCTTTTGGCAAGAATCATTGGTGGCGTCGAAGGAATCGGTGAATGTCGTTGTGGCGGTGGCCGGCGTCAAGCAAGCTTTTTTCGATCGAGAGAGAAAAGGGTAAATGGGTTGCGATCGTTAATGAGGGACGAGAATTAACTTCATGATTTTAGGGTGTAGAGAGCTATGACGATGGTTATAACAGTGGACGAATCTTGTGGGAAAGAAGATGAAGCAGTCAGACGTTAATGGTGAATGACAATATAATTAAGTTTGTGGAAGGTATATTGATGGGGCCTGTTGGGCTGATGTGGGAAAGAAGACATGGATTATAACAATTTATAATTTATTTTGAAGAAATTATAATAATAAGTTCTCCCAGCTCACATGGTAAGGTGTATGGTTCATGATTGGGAAATCATGGGTTCGACTCCCCCTCGTATCTTTTCTCCCAAAAATCAGATTTCTTAAATTTATAAAGGAAGAGCATGCCACATCATTTGCCACGTAAGTCCAACAGTCCGAGCATGCCACATCATTTGCCACGTAAGTCCAACAGTCCATTTGGCATGCCACCTCAGCAAGTAGTCCACTTGGTGCCACCTCAACAGGTTAAAGGTAAAAAAAGGTTAAAGTGATTACATTAGCCGGTTTCCTGTCCTTTTTCGTTAATGAAATTTAATTTAGGACTAGATCATAATTTGACCCAAAATTTTGGGACTTTTTTTGGAGATTTCCCTTTCTTTATTTGTATTCTTCTACAACAATTCAATATTTAACAAAATACAAAAATGGCCGTTACATATTGTGACATCCCCGTTTTTACGGCCAGAAAAGACTGATTTAGTTCATGCTTTTTAATAAAAAAATCAGAGTAAACTTCTTAATAAAAGTGTTGCGGAATTTTGTTCCCAGAAAAACATGATAAATATGTTATCAAAGCACTTTCGAAGAAATGTATTTTATTCATTTTAAAACCTTGGGATGTCAACGTCAATACAGAAACATAAGCATAAACAGAACTTACATTCATTTACACTAGTGATCTACATCTCTTTAATCCCTCAGTGAAGTGTAGCTTTATATCGACACATGTGATACAAATAAACTGAGTGGGTCAGGTTGGGAAACTTGGTGAGTACATAGGGTTTTCAACCCACAATAACAAAGTTATTATGTTTTATCATCAAACAATTAACTCAATTACCCATCCCCATTATCTTCTTTAATTCCTAGGGATCTACCCTAAGGATCATCTATCACTCATTCCTAAGGGTTTTTTCCTAAGGAACAGACACGAAGTCCATCGTCGCCAAGGTTTATACAACAGACACTAAATCTATAGCTTCCAGGGTTCATCCAACGGGTGCTAAGTCCATAGCTCTCATTTATCGACAATATTATTTGCGGGAGTCCACCTGCAATACATGTAAATGGGTTTTTAGAGTACACCGGGTGAACATATCGTTCACAACACCTACAGGTAGCGAGCCTGCTAGTGTTCAATAGACTGTCTAGAATAGTCCATGGTTGTCATCTGTACTCTGCTAGATGACGGGGTCATCGTTTGGGTAAAGGTTTCTCTCATTTTTCACCTCTCACCCTCATCTCATAATCTATATTACCTTTTATCTCATCCTCTAACTCATCTTTCATCACACACCAACTATTTCATCTACCTATGTTTTACCCAACATATTTGTAGATATAAAATACATATACAGTTCAGATCTGAAGAAGTAGTTTAGATCTGTAAAGAAAACACATATACGGTTCAGATTTGAAGAAAAAGGTCTAGATCTGAAAAAACAAAGTTTAAATCTTTCATCATATCTTTCAAAGCATAAAATACATATAC